AATTATGTATTTCTAAAAGAGTGACAAAGGTTTTTGTGATGTTATAAACTGTATGTGCTAAGACAGTTTATGTTGGGTTACTGTTGTGGGAGGTTTATAGGAACTTGGTCTCTGTGTGGCATTTCCTGTGATTTTTGTCAGTTTCCTTTAATTGGTTGCCTTTTGCTGAATGATTTTAATATCAATAAATGTAGCTTTTCATTGCCTATAAAACCATGATCTTAGAATTTTCTCCAAGCTGTCCTTTTGTATTAATAACAGGCATTAAATATATCCTGTTGCAGGGGACAGTGTTCCCTGCATTCCCCTTAAAGGGAAGGTTGTAGTCCTGAAACCCCTGCCCTGCATCCTGCACATATATACAGCTGGATAGAGCATAGGGCTAATCACAAGAAGGGTTACACAGTAACCTGTGAGTGACACACTTCATCCTTTATACATACATGAAATGTATATGTATAGTATATATAGTCCTAAAAGAAAGGAGAGACATCTATCAGTATTGACAACATGACCAAATGCTGTTAAATATCAGTGAGTCAGGGTCACTGTGGCAAAGGACAAAAAAAACACCTCAGGATCTCTTCTGGCAAGAGGGAACTTGTAGGTTTCTCTAACAATTTACTGTCAAATAAGGGCCCAGTCTAAGTTCTATATTGCTAGAATATATGAGGCCCTTCCCATTACAAAACAAAGAATGTCAGAAGGCAATTAAGGATTAGCAAAGTTTTTTTCTTTCTTTCTTTCTTTCCTTTATTACTCAATGTTGACATCTCTTCATAATGAGCTGAAAACCAGGTGGCAAAGATATGTTCTAAGTTGTGGCCCCTAAATGGTCATTCATGAGTTACTGCCCCCCAAAATGGGGTTAGAGCTATGTTTTGGTCTCAGTCACTGCAAAATTGTGTATGCTACAGTAATAGACATGTACAAAGTTGGTTAAATAGGTCTTCCCTGTGCTTTCAATTTTTCTCTCAAGTAGCTGACTGCATACAGTCCTCACTACATGCTGAAGAAGTAGGTTTCATCATGACCATCACCTCTTTTTTCTCTGAAGCCCATGATGTATAACTGTTATATAAACATTTTATTTTCTTATCCTTTTAAGTCATCACATTTGTTTGCTTCAAATTGAAATTGCACTCAGAAGGTTATTATTGTTACTTTTGTTAGTTGCTGCAGACAGATTCTCCTTTATCTGCACACTAGATATCAAATTGATTTATCAGTATTAATTTTGTTAGTATGAGCTTGTGCTTAGAATTATCAAAAGAGCAAATACAGTTTATTTTTTTATTGGTATTTTTGTTTGTTTGTTTGTTTGGGAGGAAAAGCTATGAAAGACCTAAGGAAATTTAGTTTTTGTAGAATGCACTATAAAACTCAGTTAGGCAGGTTTGTATTTCAGATTACTCTGACACACCAAACTAAATATTATAGTGCCCAAATAGTTATTTATATAAACTAAAATTAATTAAAAGGAGAACTTATCCTGATGTAACATTATACTCACAGTGCAGGATCCCACAAGCCAAGCTTCTCTGTTAGACTCATCAGTTCTGACTGCTGTGGGAGGAGGTTCAGAACGTCAGTGCTGTCACAGGATATGAAAGCAAAATGATTGAATATAAATAGAAAAATGAATAGGATCAAAAGGAATAGTGAATAGATAAAAAAGAAGATATATAATGAAGTAATTAAAAGGAGAAACCATGTAAGTTCTGGGGTAGAATAGGGAGGTATGATATGTGTATCTGTTTTAAGTGTGTAGGAGGCTAAGGAAAGGACATACAATTGACAGCCAGTTTTAATAGTTCAGCCTTTGAGATCAGATGCAGTACTTTCCTCGGAATATTTTCAGGTGAAATTTGCTTCATCTTTCAGATTTTCAATTCAAGGTCCTAGATGCTCTTTATTTGTGTGTGTGTATTTTGAAAACTGAAAATAAGAGTGTGCGGTGTGTATTTGCTACAAAGTTGTAAATGTGTTGATTTTTTAATTGAAACATCCATCAGTAAGAATTCTAAGCAAGTTACAGAATAAGTAAAACTTATAACTTGAAAAATTACACATCATACAAAAGATCAGCAAATAGTATTCTGAAGGAATATCCAGGCAGATCCCTTAAAGAACACATTTTGAGAAAGGAAAAATGGCATATTGGCAGCTTTTTATTCATATGTGTTAATTATATCTCTGACTTGTGTATCACACACCTGTTCAGGTTGGAAGACGGGAATGAGGGAGGATAAACATCTGAACACTAAAGTGATGCCATATTTTTTTTATTAGTTATTTTTTATCCATATATTTCTATATTCATTGTAGCTTTTTATTTACAATCCAGAGTACATGCATTTATTTAAGAAAGAATTTATAGTCTTATGGTGTATATAATGGATTCTTGTAAATAAACTGTTAGATGATAAACTTGCACCTGTGCCACATAACACATACAAATGCTTGGTCTCAGTGGGATGAGCGAAGAGTCGGAGTTGGTTGTGGCCGATCCGTTTGACATGGATGGTGACAGTCCCTACCAGGAATCAAGTGCTATCAAGAAGTGAGTTACCAGAGTGTGTGTGTGTGAAGCAAAGGCCCTTGAAAGACTGGTTTTGGGCAGAACTCTGTTACATTAGACACTTCACACTGTCCAATTCACTACCACTTGTACAGACAAAGGTGGTGGCTGTCAAGGAGAATGTGCCTCTTATTTCTCAAATGTGTTGGCTTGGGATTCAACCTCGGGTAATTTTTGCTGCGTTTTATGTTTTGCACTTCATCTGCTTTTGTCTCTGGTCTATTCATCTCTCAATATAATAGTTTGGTTTGATTTTCAGGAGAAAAAGAAAGAAAGGATTATTGATTTGATACGATATATTTATTGTTGATATATTGTACAAGTTCTGGTGCTCCAAAAAATAATTTATAAAACAGTGAATTTCTATTCATGCCTGAAAATTACTCCAGTATCAACATGGATTCCAAAATTATGTACATATATAGAGAAAATGACTGTTACACATGCTATTTAATTTTATGCACTTCACCTTTGTGTTTTTGTGTGGCAGTATTGTACTGAAAATTGATCTGTGCCAGATTAGTCACTATATTTTTCAGCTTTTAGGTTTTAGCATAGAATTTACCACACGCACTTTCTAATCGTTAGAATACAAATTTTGGCCTGAAAAAGTGATTTGTAGTCTTTGTTCAAGTTTCCTACATTGAAAGTCAAATTTAGTCAAAGTTTCTTGGAAAAGGGAAAGATTAGTGGAAAGAGAAAATCAATAGAATTATGCAAATGAAGTTAATGACCCTATAGCAAGGGGGGTAAAAAAAAAAAAAAAAAACAAACTAAATATTATAGTGCCCAAATAGTTATTTATATAAACTAAAATTAATTAAAAGGAGAAACCATGTAAGTTCTGGGGTAGAATAGGGAGGTATGATATGTGTATCTGTTTTAAGTGTGTAGGAGGCTAAGGAAAGGACATACAATTGACAGCCAGTTTTAATAGTTCAGCCTTTGAGATCAGATGCAGTACTTTCCTCGGAATATTTTCAGGTGAAATTTGCCGGAGTTGGTTGTGGCCGATCCGTTTGACATGGATGGGTGACAGTCCCTACCAGGAATCAAGGTGCTATCAAGAAGTGAGTTACCAGAGTGTGTGTGTGTGAAGCAAAGGCCCTTGAAAGACTGGTTTTGGGCAGAACTCTGTTACATTAGACACTTCACACTGTCCAATTCACTACCACTTGTACAGACAAAGGTGGTGGCTGTCAAGGAGAATGTGCCTCTTATTTCTCAAATGTGTTGGCTTGGGATTCAACCTCGGGTAATTTTTGCTGCGTTTTATGTTTTGCACTTCATCTGCTTTTGTCTCTGGTCTATTCATCTCTCAATATAATAGTTTGGTTTGATTTTCAGGAGAAAAAGAAAGAAAGGATTATTGATTTGATATGATTTATTTATTGTTGATATATTGTACAAGTTCTGGTGCTCCAAAAAATAATTTATAAAACAGTGAATTTCTATTCATGCCTGAAAATTACTCCAGTATCAACATGGATTCCAAAATACAGAGAAGTTAAATGTCTTATGATGTACATATATAGAGAAAATGACTGTTACACATGCTATTTAATTTTATGCACTTCACCTTTGTGTTTTTGTGTGGCAGTATTGTACTGAAAATTGATCTGTGCCAGATTAGTCACTATATTTTTCAGCTTTTAGGTTTTAGCATAGAATTTACCACACACACTTTCTAATAGTTAGAATACAAATTTTGGCCTGAAAAAGTGATTTGTAGTCTTTGTTCAAGTTTCCTACATTGAAAGTCAAATTTAGTCAAAGTTTCTCGGAAAAGGGAAAGATTAGTGGAAAGAGAAAATCAATAGAATTATGCAAATGAAGTTAATGACCCTATAGCAAGGTAAGGAATCAGAATGTGTAGTAGTACTCTCAGCTATCACAAAAAAAAAAAGCATATAGAAATGTTACCCCCCCCCCTCTCTCTCACTCTCCAGAATTTTAGATAGTGTGACTCAAAGCCTTGGTCAGCCAACACAGGTGTTTTGTGGGGAGCAGGTGTTTCCCTAGTAGTATATGCGTTATATGTCATTAAGATATGTCCTTAATTCCTTGCTGTTGTGGTTGTATAATATATCTTGACTTTTTCTTTTCTTTTCTTGTGAGAATATATATTGTAGCAAAAAGAAGATTTTTCTTGCATTTTATTTTATAGGAATTAAATTGTGATGGAAGTGTTGATCACATCCAAAGTGGTTATTAAAAGACTTGTATTCAATCTTTCTTTTATTCTTTCTTAATCATTTTCTCTGCCATGGATTTTTATTTTGTCCTTTTTTTTTTCTTTTGCTTTTTTTCCATGTATACATAATTTTTCTTTCTATCCCACTTAGCATGATGATATTCCTAATTTACACACACACACAGAACCACAATTTGATATTGATATAGCAGATAAATAAAAGTAAATATATGAAATCAAATATAATTTCTAAATCTCTTCTAGGCTCCTAATGCAGCTGCCTGTCCAACTCCAGCTGGCCTCTCCAGCTGCCAGGGAGTGGATCACTCGCCGGAGGGAGAATGTCCGACCATGGCTGGTCTTTGTCAACACACAGAAGTTCAAGGTATGGATGGAGGAGGGAGTATTGATGGTGTTAGTTTGGTGGGAGGAATTTTGTTTGGGAGGTCAGAGTGGTAGAATGTAATATTTTCTCTCTGTCTGTCTCTGTCTCTCTCTGTCCCTGTCTCTGTCTCTCTCTGTCCCTGTCTCGGTCTTTCTCTCTCTCTTTCTCTCTCTCTTTCTCTCTCTCTTTCTCTCTCTCTTTCTCTCTCTCTCTCTCTCTCTCTCTCTCTCTCTCTCTCTCTCTCTCTCTCTCTCTCTCTCTCTCTCTCTCTCTCTCTCCTTCCATCTCTCTCCTTCCATCTCTCTCTCTCTCTCCTTCCATCTCTCTCTCTCTTTCTCTCTCCTTCCATCTCTCTCTCTCTCTCTCTCTCTCTCTCTCTCTCTCTCTCTCTCTCTCTCTCTCTCTCTCTCTCTCTCTCTCTCTCTTCTCTCTCTCTCTCTCTCTCTCTGTCTCTCTCTCTCTCTCTGTCTCTGTCTCTGTCTCTCTCTCTCTCTCTCTCTCTCTCTGTCTCTCTCTCTCTGCCTCTCTCTCTCTCTCTCTCTCTCTCTCTCTCTCTCTCTCTCTCTCTCTCTCTCTCTCTCTCTCTCTCTCTCTCTCTCTCTCTCTCTCTCTCTCTCTCTCTCTCTCTCTCTCTCTCTCTCTCTCTCTCTCTCTCTCTCTCTCTCTCTCTCTCTGTCTCTCTCTCTCTCTCTCTCTCTGTCTCTCTCTCTCTCTCTCTCTCTCTCTCTCTCTCTCTCTCTCTGTCTCTCTCTCTCTCTCTCTGTCTCTCTCTCTCTCTCTCTGTCTCTCTCTCTCTCTCTCTCTCTCTCTCTCTCTCTCTCTCTCTCTCTCTCTCTCTCTCTCTCTCTCTCTCTCTCTCTGTCTCTCTCTCTCTCTCTGTCTCTCTCTCTCTCTCTCTGTCTCTCTCTCTCTCTCTGTCTCTCTCTCTCTCTGTCTCTCTCTCTCTCTCTCTGTCTCTCTCTCTCTCTCTCTCTGTCTCTCTCTCTCTCTCTCTCTCTTTCTCTCTCTCTCTCTCTCTTTCTCTCTCTCTCTCTCTCTTTCTCTCTCTCTCTCTCTCTCTCTCTCTCTCTCTCTCTCTCTCTCTCTCTCTCTCTCTCTCTCTCTCATATATTTTACATTACATTTTTGAAAAACGGATATAATATGGCTTTGTCATTCACTTTGCTTAATTTTTATTTATTGATTTACTTAGATGGTCATGCTGTAATTTTACAAATCTGATAAACTGAAAGTAAGAAAAGTTATTCTTTTTTTCAGATTCCACCTAATGTGCAGAGATGGACCAAGAGAATGATCAAGAATGTGGACTACTTCCAGTCGAATTATATGTTTGTTTTCATCATCCTCATCCTCTACTGCCTGTGAGTTATTTTGATTATCATATTTTTGTTCTATGTGGTTCATGTGGGAATATCATGTAATTCAGAAGAGGAAGACTCAGATGTAAGATGATTTAATATTATTAATATTATTATTATTATTATTATTATAACAACCACCATTGCAGCCATCAGCTTTGTATTCACCTTAATGCCTTTTGTTTGCATGTGTTGACAGAAGTGCACATGTATGTATGTCCTTTGATATGTTTAGTAATAAGCTCTTTTAGTTTAAAAATAAGAATTGAGTGTTGCCCAGATTCAGGGTTTGAACGACCACCATTTTATTCTCATCATTAGGCTTCAATCTCCAAACCTCAAAACAGGCTGTGATCTTAGCTCTGTCTTTCAAATTTAAGGGTACTATCCCTCAAGGAGAGAGGGAGATTTGGTTCTGGATGAAAAAGACATTGTTTAGTACTGTTAAATTCTTTCAAGTGGCTATAACATTAGCTTAGTGTTCTTTAAGGGTAAACACAACATACAGACTAGGGGGAAAAAATCTTTAAGAAAAAAATATTTGATAGTAAGTTGACTTTTCCAAACTTTTGGCATTTATGATCCCTACAATGTGTGCACTCAACTTTAAGATGCATTGTGACATCATTACACTGAACTACTGTATAAAATGGATGAAACTTTTCCATACTATTGGTATTTATGATACCTACTTTAAAATGCTTTGTGACACCATTACACTGAACTACTGTATAAAATGGATAGCAGCCTTAATACTTAATGTTTTATTTTTTTTTTTTTATCTGTGAATAGGCATTTGATATGCAAATATGAAGCTTTTTATAAAAATCTCCATAGTGTTTTGCCATATCATTGTAGCATATATATGTATTTATTCCCAACTCCTTCATATTTTTAAAGATAATTGCATGCTATCACCTGCATATCATAAAATATATAGCCTCTTAGTCCTAAGTAAATCTGTTTGATTTTCATTTTCCTGCAAATATTCATTGATAAAATTTATCAAACAGAGATATTGCTTTTCATTGATGCAACATCAGTTTATGCATTTTATTTCTTTTCCTATTTGAAAAGAAATTGCACATCTTACTGACAAACATAAAAAGATTATGTACTGAAATAATCATCAATATATTATAAAGGGGGAGAAGAGGAGGAGGAGGAGGAGGAAATGCAGAGGAGGAGGAGAAGGGTATCTGCCATGCCCCCACACCTGGGCTTTAAAACCCTCTGTCCCTTTAAATGTCTTAAAGCCATGTCGCATCACCTAAAAGTTTGCAAGATATTTGGAAATTATTTCTAAATGGTTGAGAAGCATTATGAGCACTTGCTTTAAATTTTTGATTTTTCACCCCCAACTGTCACATTCTCCCTTAACCCCTTCGTGCCGGGTGACGCCGATCGGCGTGTAAACAAAGAGCTCGAAAGCTGGCGTGCAGCCGAACGAGCCGGCGGTGCGCCAAAGCGCGGCGAGCCAGTGATTCGGGCTAATGTCCCCTACTCACGCGCTCAAAGTCGGCACGCCGCCTTTGTTTGTTTAAGCGTAGAGTTTTTTTTTTTTTCTTTTGTACACCCGGCGCCATTGGGTTAAATAGTTGAGTCTTTCTTTGTGTGTGTGGGTACCATTTTGGATTTGTATATAATGATAAGTATGTTCCTTCTCCTCCCCCCACCCAACCCCTAAAAGAATTAAGAATATTTTTTTTTAGATATATTTTTTATATATTCTTTATATTCTTTCTTTTTCTTCCTTCTTCCTGTTACTACACACAAAGTAACTATGATATCACAATGCAGTAATAAGAATTATTTCCACAAAACAAAGCAGTTTGCTGCACAATTTATGTTTAAGACTTGTGCAAAGATGTAGAAAATTGTTAAAATCAGGGATCAGCAGCATTTTTGTTGTATACATCTTTCAGTAATTCCAAATCTACTTATACAATTTGAGAAAAGTCAAGATATGCAGTACTTTTTGCAATGGTGGTATAACTGAATATTTATATGCATTTTTTCTTTCTTTCTTTCTTTCTTTCTTTCTTTCTTTCTTTCTTCTTCTTCTTTTCTTCATACTTTTTTATGTTAGAACTGACTCATTGCCTTTTTCCTTTTAGATTTGATCAATGTTAATTTCTTTGATTCTTGTTTGTACTTTTTGTTACTTTTTGTCGGTATTCTTCTTCTATACATTTCTTTTTCATTTTATTCTTGTTTTTCTTTTGTTTTCTGTACATACCATCCATCATGTATTTCATAGTTACAAAATTTACTAATAGTTATAACTATGAAGTGCATTTAAAGAAAATTTGTCTCGAAACATTTGTATTATATATATTAGATTTACTTTTTAAGTTTTAGTTTGCTTTTTTCCTTCTTTTTCTTTTTTCCCCATTTATAATTGTATTATTGTTTTCTTTGTATTTACATCCAAAGCCTAACAACTTTTTGTTTGTTTTTTAAGAATTACGTCCCCGATGCTCCTCTTTGCTGTAGCTGCATCCCTCGGTGCCTGTTACATCCTGTCGTTGAAGAATGCAGAGAAGAAGATTGTCATAGGAGGTCATGAAATACCACTCGCTCACCAGTATGGAGCTATTGGCATTCTCTCTCTGCCTGTTTTCTATTTAGCCGGCGCTGGGGCGGTCTTATTCTGGGTCCTAGGTTTGTTTCGTTTTTGTTATTTATGTCCTTCTTTTCAATTGCTGTACTACTAGACACTTTTATTTATTGTAACTTTGTATTTCTTACAAACTGTTTTTGAAATATATACAGAGCTAATATGTAAATAGATGAAAATGAATGCTGAAAACCTCTCTTCTAGGTGCAAGCTTCTTCATCATTGCCATCCATGCTTCCTTATACAACATTGAGAGTGTCCTTGGGTCAGAAGATGAACCTTTTGAGCTGCAGATGGAGCAGGTATGAGGGGGACACAATAGCCACTCATTTACTTCCACCCACGTCCATTCTTTTTCACTGAGCTGTTATTTTGACACTGTTGTATGTTATAAGCATCGTAGAATTAGATTAACTCTTCATTGACAGTATTGTATTTTTGACAAATGTATTTTGTTTTCAGGTCTAAAGACAGAGTTTGTCATCTGGAGAAGAAGAAAAGAAGGAAGATTTACTGAGAGCTGAAAGGATTAGGTGCTTGTGTGCTATCATTCTTTTGTATGAAATATATAACCACATTCATATTTATATACATATATAAGTTATTGTGGAATTTTTTTCCAGATTACCTGTATTAAAGTATCATAATATCTATGTAAATTAATAAATGGAAGTAAGGTGCTTCAACACCTGTGCTAAAGTTATATTGCTTGAAGTTGTGTATCTGTCCTAAGTTTTGAAGATAAAGTGTAAGAACAGAAGTAAAGGCATAACACATGAGACCTATTGCTTGTGTTTCAGGATATTACAGACAGTATCCTAGGAACGTGAAACTATACCAAAAACATTAAACCGAAAATATGTAAGAGACAGTTGTGCATAACTCTATTCTTATTCTTCTGTTATTTACCGGTAATGCAGTGGGGAGTGAGTTACATGAACTATTTATTTTATGAATTACAAATATTTTCACATTTTATTGTATTAAACCAAGAGTATTTCTTCTGCTTCTTCTTCTTTAATTCAATCTAGCACTGCCAACACTAATGCTTATATCATTTTTTCATTAAATAAGAATGATCAGATATTGTTTGTAAGAACATACAATAATTTTTTACAATACTATACAGTGATAGGCGTATATTTTAGCAATTTGCCCACTTCTACAGTATGATGTTATTTACTATTAAAAAAAAACATGTACAATTTTTTATAGACAAATGTGAAACTTGAAGAAATAGTGCAATAAGAAACAACAAACTGCCTACATACTTCTTTTTGTTAGACTTGATTGTATACTATATATCTTCTTTCCAAATTAATTGATCAGTCTGACAGTGTTACAGTGTAATGAAACCATTATAAACTTTTTTTTCTCTCTTTTTGTTTTTCTTTTTCTTCTTTGCCAATCAGTAAATTGTCAGTGAATCAAGTGACCTGAGAAATTGTATATTTTTCCAATAGACACTGACAGTTTACCTGAAGACATTTGTTAAGAAATTTGGCCTTCCTAATGGCAATCAACATAGAACAAAGTTCTGGAAAACAGTGTTTTCAGTTATTTAAGATAAGACATGCACAGGTAATTGGATATATAACTCTGAAACTCCCCAAAGCTAAAACTGTATGTAGCAGTTATTGGGCTAATATAGTTAGTTTTTCTTTCTTTTCTTTCTTTTTTACTTTTTTTTTTCTTTTTACACACACACACACACACACACACACACACACACACACACACACACACACACACACACACACACACACACACACACACTCTCTCTCTCTCTCTCTCTCTCTCTCTCTCTCTCTCTCTCTCTCTCTCTCTCTCTCTCTCTCTCTCTCTCTCTCTCTCTCTTTCTTTCTTTCTTTCTTTCTTTCTTTCTTTCTTTCTTTCTTTCTTTCTTTTACATGCAAAAGAGATTTCTGTGAATTCTTATTGTGTTTAGATATAAGTATGTTTACTTAATGATGTTATTTGTTATAGCAGTAAAATCTGTTGTGTTTTACATTGGGAAGACATTGTGAAATGTATAAACAACATATGTTTATGGGTATTAAGAATGTGTTTTTGAGAGGCACAAGCTATTTATGAAGTTGAATATTGTATGCTTATCCTTATTTATTAAAGGTCTAATGTTTATATAAATTATATACAAAATATTTACCTATTTTTCTTTTTAACCTTAAAGATTATTTTAAATATTCATGAAATTTGGTGGGAGATTTAGTATAGCTAAAGTTATTTTGGTATGTAGTAAAGAAATTAGAAAATAAGTAGATATGTAATTTGTTTAATAAGACTAGCATTTTGTAATACAACTATTCCAACATTCAAAGTCAAATCTTCATATAAAATTGGAGCCTGTCATTCGTGTCACCCTCCGTAACCCAATGCCACCGGGGAAAATGAATAAAAATGGGGAAAATGCTGTGCTCATTTTCTGTATCTTTGTGAAATGTCTCTGCACATAGATGGCACTGCTAGTGCTTAGCCACAAAGGAATCAATTAGTAGAACTTGTGACCTTAAGTAATTTGAATTGGTATGAAAAATGTATTTTTTACTAGTGCTATGAATATTGATGGTGTAATTTTTAACATAAACTATTTTTGTAAATCAAAGAAAAGGGTAAATGGGCAAGACAGGCAGTACTCATAACTGGCTCACTGGTGAATTAGTACAAGTGTAGCCATCTATGTGTAAAAACAATCAAACAAGTACTCACAGTGGGCATAGCACATACATACACCTCATGCCCGTCGGCATTGGGATAAACACAACTATAACCAGGCCTCCAGTTTTAGATAAGCACTATATTTGGTTAATTTTCTTCCTATATACTTAACACTAAATATGTACAATAAAATCTTACTATTGACTAATGACAAATAAGACCAACTGCTAATTGCTTGCTTTATGCACAGTGCCCCCCCCAATCCCTTGCATATTGTTGCTGTGGGGGGGCTTAGTAGGTGGAGACTGAGGCCCAATGTAAGGATCACCCCTACCTTGGACCTCAGCCCTGTCTCGGCTAATTTTGCAGGATCTTCATCTTAACTTTTCCTTCACTTCATCCCCTTTTTCTGTCCATGTATCCAAATTGGTAACTCATATTTGTTTTGACCGTTCTGGAAATCTATAAACTCTGCCTTACTGAACCAAAAAACTTTTGCCTGGGGGCTTCACCCCCAAGCCCCACCTTATCTCTATATTTTGTATATGCTGCTAATGACCTTAGATATTGAAGTGGCAGAAATTTTTTGATAAATAAGTATGCACAGCACCCCCCCAACCCCTTGTTCATTGTTGTGGGGGGGCATCGGAGACAGGGACTGTGGCCCAAGTGAGGGGATCACCCCT